TTTAGCTCCAGAACTTATTATGAATAAAATATATGATTATAAAGTAGATGTCTATAGTGTTGGTATAGTATTTTATATGTTAATTAATGGAGGAAAGTCTCCATTTGAAAAGATTGATTATGCAACTTAATTATAATAAAACATGTTAAGCAATATAGATTTGAAGAAATTAACCATTACAAATGATTGTTAAGATTTATTATCAAAAATGATAGATTCAAATCCTTAAAGTAGAATAACATCTTAATAAGCAAAGATACATTTATTATTTCATAAATAGCATGAAAAAATTGAATTATCAACAGCAAGATTGCCAAAATCACTTACGATATCATTAATCGATACTCCAAAGATCTAATCTATTTAATCAAGTCGTTAAAAAAAATAAAGTTTCGTTTAGATATCTCAAAGTGCCAAAAATTCTCCTATTGAAATAAAAAAAATATAAGGTTAATAAAACTTTTCAAACGCAAAATAAAAGTAATAACAATGAGTACTTTTTTAAATGATAATATTGTTATATTTTAGAATTGCAATAATCTTTTCATAATAAATTATGTCTAATTTTTATGATATAATTCATTTGATATTATATTATTATTGATATTATAATATATAATCTAATAATATAAAACATAAAAACAATATTAAACTTATTAAATACCTACAAATAGTATTATTTCAATAATGGAAATTAATCAAAGAAACCTTTTGTGATTTATATATATAATTCATATTAATTTTAATATTACTATTGAGAAATTAGAATATTCTATTTATATTTAAAATCACTACGAATAAATAATAATATTGGTGAAATTTGAAACAGATTCTGGTACTAAGATTAGATTATAATGTATAACTCATATATAATTAATAAAAAAATGATCTATTAGTCTTTATTAGAATTAAAGTTATTTTAATTCACTAAAAATAATAATGAATTTTGAATTGTAAAAATAAGTTCATATAAAACAAATAGAAAATAGTATTCTAGATAGAATCCTAAAATAAGAGTATTCTTATTATCTGTAGAATTATATTATGGATTGATTTCATTAATAAAACTTAATAATTAACTTATAAAAAATGTTAATGATTTATGTTCATAAACTTTATTTGGTATAATCAAATAAAATATAAAGAGAGGCTATGACATTATATGTTTGAGATATTAAACATCAAGAATATGGATATATTTAACCCTAAAATAGATAGATGATTAATAGATAAAAAATGAATTAATATAAATCTCTATTATAATTCCTCATAACTCATCTGTGACAACTTCGGCACTGCAAGTGGCAAATACGACTTTGGTTTTAGGCTATCCACTTTATGATCCTTAAGCTTCAATCTTTTTTACTAATTCCATATTTTCTATGACTCTTCCAAAGACTACGTGTTTTCCATTTAACTAAAAGAATATATAAAAATGGTTACCCAATGAGTATCAGCAGTTGTAATAAAGAATTGACTTCCATTTGTATTTGGTCCTGCATTAGCCATTGAAATACATCCGATTTCATGTTTCAAATTAAAGTTTTCATCATTGAATTTGTTTCCATAGATTGATTCTCCACCAGTACCATTACCATTTGTAAAATCACCTCCTTATATCATAAAATTTGGAATAATTCTATGGAATGGTGAACCAGCATAGCTTTTGCCTGGTTTTTCACCAGTACATAAAGCTCTGAAATTTTCCACAGTCTTTGGTACAACTTTTCCAAACAAACCCAAAGTGATTTCTCCTTCATTCTTACCATCAATTGTTACACCAATCTTCACTTTATGTGTGACTGTCTACTTTGATAATTGAGATAAGACACTAAAAGACAATAAACAAAGAATAATGATTTTCATTAATTATTTATATTATTATTGAATTCTTAAATTATTTTGAATAACAATCATATATCATTATTAATAATTCCTTTTTTAACTATAAAAGTTTAAAAACTATTATATATTGCTAATGGTATAAGTGTAATTACGTAAATGAGAACTAATATAACAATAATAAAAGGTATGTTAATGATTAATAGAATTATCTTAACAGGATTTTGACTTTAGCATATTGGATCAATCTTATTTACAAAACAATCAATTATTTGAGGAATTTAAATAAAGATCATTGAATATATTGAAAATAACACTAAGATTAATGCTGTGAATAGAAATTAAAATATTTTCTTGATTATTGGAATTTTTTTTTATTTCTTTCTCTAAATATTAAAAGTGTTTAAACAATTATCACATTATTAATTTGAAAATAATGTAATGTTAGTTTAAGATTGGCAATCAAAACAAAATTGTTTCTTACAAATATAGCATTCATAAATATTTGGCTTCCATTCTCTAAAGATAAAATTAAATATGATACTTAAATTTTTTGATTTCATCATTTTTATGGCAAAATTAAGGTTAACATAAAGAATTACAACAATAACATCTAAAACATTTTTATTATTTTTTATAGTTCTCAAATAAGATATCATTGTTGCATGTAAGACCAGTGTGAACAGTTCTGCATTTAAAACAGAATTAAATATGACATAATTAACATTTGCATTAATTTAAGGAAGTGATTTTCACATTACCTTAAATATAGGTAGGCCATACAGACCAAATCCCAGAACAGTACTATCCTATACAATGAATTTATTGTGTTATAGGTATCCATTTTATTAGTTAATCAGGTTCAAGGTATAAATACATTAGTTGATAGTTTATATTAGATTTACAATTAAATTGAATGCAATTTACAGTATTCTAAAAATTAGTTTAAATGAATGTTTATAAGCATGTTTCACAAAAGAAGTGATTGTTATCACAAACTTTGATCAAGATTTTATTTTAATAACATATTTAGCATTAAGAGAGAGTAAAATCAAATTGAGATGTAGGTGTCATTGTTAATTTACAATAGTATTTACTAGCAGGACTTTTGAATAATTTAGATTATGATTATAAATCATATCTGACTTTTAAGAGAGAGATTTAATCTAAACATTAAAAGCATATATATTTAGCATTAAGTTTACTATATTTAGAATCGACAATCTATTTACAACAATGACATTGAATTATATTCTAAATTGTTTTATTTTCTTATTCAATCATATTCTAAGATTCATCAATATTAGTTGAGATTTATTTAAGTTTTTAGAGAGGATACATGTATAATTAATTAATGTTATATTATTATTATTAATATATTTTTGTTTAATGTTTGAAGAAAATATAAAAATTTGGGGTCCGTTTGGAGAATTAGCTTTAATGTGGTGTGAAGCATTTATGGATGATAATGATTATGTAGTATTGATGATATACTTATAAAAAAGAAAATGGATAATGGCAGATTAAGATCTTTAAGCTGTGATTAAAGAATATGATAGAATGGGATTAGCTGATATGAGACAAGCAGCTATGTATTTATAAAATTTATTATATTTAAGGAATTTATAAAATACTGGTATTGTAAAGTTGGATGAAAGAAAATAAAATAATTTCTAAAGAGATAATCATTTTCAAAATATGCAAATAAATTAGGATTTTGTAGAATGTTTGGAAAGATAATGTAGAGTTTTAGAAGAAAAGTGCAAATTTGAAAAGAAAGAAGTTGAAAAATAAGAAAAGAACTAAACTAGTAAGTATTGTAGTATTTGCAATTAATAATATTCATTGGATGATATTCATTTATTTTAAATGAAAAAATGTAAAAAATATGGTTGTGAATAAGGACTTTTAATAGATTCTTAAATGGATGAATAAAGAAAAAAAGTATTTGTTTATTTTATTATCAATATAGCATGTTTAAATTTTAGAACAAATTTTAGAGAGAATAAAACGTGCAATAGATAATTGTAAATAAGAACTATTTCCAACACAAAATGATATTGAGTAATCAAAGTAAATGGTTATAGAAGTTTAATTGAAAAGTAATTTATTAATTAATTTAACTAGCATTTCTGGATCCTGAGGTTGAAAAGATATGGAATGAAAATAAAAAGGAATAAATACATTCAATATTTAAACTACCAATATGTAAAAAGATAAATTCATATGTTGAACGGAAGAAATAATTTTTATCAAATAAAATGAATATTGAATGAATTTAAATATTAAATATCTATCAGGATCGACTATTTATCAGGATGATTTAAGAATCAGATATAATTTAGATAATAACATCAAATAAAATTATAATATTCTTCTTACCCGCCAAGTAATCGTTCAAATTTTTAACTTCCAAAATTTTGCAATATTAATATAGATTTCAATAAGCTTGCTTTACAAAAGAAGTTCAAACCATATTTATAAATGAAATAATAAAAACAATTATAAAAATAGGAATGACTAAAATTACCCTTTTTACTTATATAACAAATGCCAACCCTTGTGAAAAAGAGAAGGAATCTTAAATTTATTTGTAATATGATGAGAACGATTGAAAAAAAAATGATTTTAATACAATTTTATTAGTAATTTTTTTTCTCTCGTTTTTTTTATTAAACTTAGTATTTTATTATGAGGTTTTCATTCATAGACTCTTAGTTTTTCGATCAAATATTCTATGACTAACACTTGTTTATCAAATTTCTATCCAGATGATTTTCTTGAGCTTTCTTAATCTGATTATACGTCATTTAAATTGAATTCTTCAAGACTTTCTAAAGAAGGACTTGGTAAAGGTCTATAATGATATTGAATAGTATACCTTGTTTTTTATGGAGAAGATGGAGTTAAACTTGATTTTCTTTGGAAAAAGTGTTAATTGCAGTCCATAGTTGAGTGTTATTGTATATTTAAATATATATTTATTAAATTTCAAATTGATAAAATCACAATTTAAAATTTGTTAATTAATATAGTTTACTAATTAATTTGAAATCTGATGGTATATTATTACAGCATATGACTTAATTTGGATATAATTGTTAAGTTAATTTAATCAGTTATTCAATTTAATAAACTAATAAAAAACAATGATTTATGATGATGATTATATAATATTAAAGATCATAATAATTTATGACTTAATGTAGGCATGGACAATTCAGTAATTGGTGGTGTGATTGTAAAAGTGACTAATCTTTCACCTTATGGAGGAATAAAACTCTTGAAATAATAACCTCTTTCAGGTTTAGTTAATTTACATCCTCCTTTATTAACTAGATTTGTTTCAAAGTTAACTTATTGATTTGATTCATTCTTATAGTATATGTAACCAATTCTAAAAATAGTAAATAATAATTAACCCTAAATTTCCATTATTGTCCATCTTCATTATGACTCCTGGTAATACTTCTTCCACCTTATTATTGGATCTAACTTAATGCATCATTGTTTAAGGAACAAGATTTGGATCTCTAGGAACTTCTTTCAATTAAACATATTATTCTCCATAAGTACTCAAAACAACTGAATGTTCATTCCAAGATGGTACATGCCATTAAATTTTTATGTATAATATGTATTTACCAGGAGTGAAATTTACACCTACTCTACCAACATGTGTTTCTATATCCTTATAGAATTTGCCCTCTATGTATTCATATCCATGTTGTTATTCCTTTGCTAACAATAGTCTAACATAAGAATAATCATATTTTAATTCTGGTTGAGATCTATATAATCTAGTAGATTCCTAATGAATGGCAAAGAAATATTCTCCTTCTTTTTTAATTTCAAATCCAAAATATGCTCCCTTGTTTCTTTTGATATTAAATCTCATTGAATTATATATGTAATCAGTTTTGAAATATCCACAAAAGACTGAAAAAAAGTATTTTGTATAATCATCTAATGACATATAAAAGATTCCATCATTCTCTTTTCCTGTATTACCAGCTTACTCTTTTAATTCAGGAGTCCATAACTCTGATTCATCACTCCAATCACCCTTCCATTCTTTACGAGCCCATGGATTTCTTATTTTTAATAAATGAACTTATCCTCTTTATGGATGATTTACAGTCTTAACATTTAAAATAGAATATGCATGTCCTGGTTCTAATCCAATTGCAGAATAATCAGCATTTTTACTATAAGTACCAGTTACCATTACACACTTTTATTTAACACAAGTAATGAAATTTTCTTTGAAATTAGGTTTGTTTGTTAATAATAACCAAACTGGACCTCCTGTTATTGTTTTGATAACTTCCCTAGGATCTCCAGCATCAATATTAGTATATGATCCATTTACTTTTGCCCATGCTTTTTCTAACAATGATACCCATATCTCTTTATCAGAATTTTTTGTAAATGCAATTTTACCATTTTTTACTGGGATATTATCATCAACAGGGATAACCTTCCATTCTCCATTAATACACATCTTAACACCATAAACACCATATTTATTTGCTCTTTAAATAGGAAATAGATCTTTAATTTAATCAGGCCTAAATTATTAATTTACTAATATACCATTTACATGCTATAGAACTTAAAGTTGACATAAAATAGCAATCACCTAAATCTCCTTAACAAATATCTCTATGAGATATCCATTTATTTAAACCAACACCACTTTTATCATGTTAAGTATCTAATGAAAAAACTTTTTGTTCTCCTTTAAAAAGTTCTTATAACCGTTACCAATTATTTCCACTGAATTTTGGTCCTAAACTCTTTACATTTGGAGGGAAATCAGGATCTGTAAATATTTCTTATGTTTATTAGCATCTTTTTTAAAGATCAGCCAATTCTTTAACTCCAGGAATCTTAAAATCAACTCCCATAAAATCTTTAAATCTTTCATCTTCTTCTCTTGTCAATTCTAAACTAATTGTTTGATTTGGTTTAGGTACAGTTAATAGATTTTATGTTTCTAAAATCAAATAAATATTCATACTTGATGGAGCTTCCAAAATCACTTATGGATCACCTTAAGTATTTTCAAAAACGATTTCTTACCATTTTTCAAAAAGACCTACAATTACACTCTCAGATAGTGGATGATCAGGAAATTCTTCTCTAAGCTTTTTGAATTATGCATCTGTAATTGCCACGTAAAAAAATTCTAATAAATTTCTGAATTCAGGATCTTAAAGTTCTTTATCTTTATTTTTGTCATAGAAATTATATAATCTCTAGATAGGCACCTTCTTTTCTCTCACACCTCTAATAATATTTTTTAATAAAGGTAAAGATTCATAAGAATTGGATGATCCAGCTCTCAATGTAAATTCTTCATCATTCACTATTTATTAATAAATATCTGGTGTTATTCCTTCAGGACTTTTGAATTTAGTAATCACCTTCAAATAAAAGTGCTTTATGTCTACACTTGGAATATTTGGATCGAACACCTCAACTAATTATCTTATCTATTCTAAATTTAAAGTTTAGGTCTTAAATTCATGCATCAATTCTTCTGGGCTTCTTAACATTATAAATTAAGAAAGAGCTTCTTAAATTACAGAATCTGAACTCATTTAAGATATTTTATTAAATAATTATTAACATAACATTATTTGGATATATATTTCATAATTATATTTATAAATCTGTCTATAATATATAATTCACTTTTGGAATATAGATACTTGATCTGATTTATAAAATTATTACTTGATTAATCATATTATCTTTATATTCAAATTTAATTTCTTTGAATGATCTTTATATTATCATTTTAGATTATATTAATTTAATATAATCATATATCTTAATCATGAAATTCAAGTAAGAATTGAAACCAAGAATTGATAAAGAAATTAGTTAAAAAATATTGTTAATTGGATGAGTAATTAATATTAATCATATATTTAATATTATAATTAATAACAGAAAAATTGATTAATTTAGAATGCTCAGGATTCAAAATCGCATTAAACATGATAATGCTGAATTGCTGGCTATCATTGATAGATGTTCATGTATGATATGATTTTAATTTAGAAATAATGAAAGATGACAGGTTAACTCTTAGACAAATGATAAAAGACAGTAATTCAGAAATAATTTCATTAGTTACAACTTATAAGAAGAAGAATGGTATAAATATACAATTAATATTTTAGATTTAAGATTGTTATAATAAGAATTAAGGAAATTGTTGAATAAAGTTAAAGGCAAATAATAATAGTAATAATAACAATAATAATAATAATAATAATAATAAACTTAGATTTAATTTAATACTAGAATATCAAAAGAAAATTAAGTAAATATTTCTCAATCTAAAACCTCACGAACTCCTTCTAGATAAACTACAAGTATTTAAAAAAATAGAAATTTTGTAAGTCCACCTAAAAGATCTTTAAGCAGATAAACTAAATAGTCAATAATTCCAAAATAAGAAAATTCTCCAAGATTCAATGAAGATATTAAATAAAATAGTCCTAATTCTCCAGAATTTTAATTGTAAATTTATTAGAATTAATTATTAAGTGTTTCTCCAGATAAAATTGAATAATAAAGATAATAGTTGGAATAATTTGAACAAAAATTGAAGTAATATACTTAAGGAGAGAACTTCTAAAAATTATTTGATTAATAAGAATATACAAAAAAGAGAGATGATATTGTACTAGCTAGTTTTTAAAATGTATATTAATTATTGTTAATTACAGTTTACAAAAGATTAAGCTTGGGTTTTTGTAGAACCTGATAAAGATTAAAATAAAGATAAAGAAGATGATTTATAATAATAGAATCTTCATAGAAGGTAGTATTCTTACATGTCAATGCCCAAAGATATTGGAATTCATTAACATCATAATACTGAAATAATAGAAATTAAATTGTCAACCTAATCTAAAAAAGAATCAAAACATCCCTTATAAAATTCATATCAAGAAATTGGAACTGATCTTTAAGGGTCTCAAAATTTTTAAGGTAGTGGTTTTGGATAATAAAATTAAGACATATTAAATTGTAAATAAGAAAAACAATAAACATAAAATTAATAAGAAATAAAATAAAAATATGAATAATAAAATGATAATATTTATTAATCTAAAATATTAACAAAATATGAAGAAAATGAATATGTTTAATTTTAAAACACTTAAAATAATGAAAGATAATAACCATAATAATATATTGATACTAATGATGAGGATTAATATAAACCTGTGATTACTGAAGATGATATAATGAAAAAATATGCAGATCTGTTTACTGCACCTGACTTTTTAAAATAATGTATGGCTACTTGTTAAACTCAGAAAACACTTGAATCATTTGCTGATAGTAGAAGTCTTAATTTTATTGTTCCATGTCAAAGTATGGTGTGTCAGGATGTTGAAACAACTAAAAAAGGGAAATATTCATTATTATCTCAATTAACTGCTGAATAGATATTTGATGAGATATTTCCTGAATCATCTTTATAAAAGATAAGCAAAGCATTTTTTAGATTTAAAATGGAGGTTGTATTTTAATAATTGTAACATGATCCTTCTTAAGAGGAATTAGATGAAATGTTCTATTAGGTTGATATACTAAAAGATGGATTTATAGATGTTAATGAAATGGGATAATTTTTAGATAGTGTTTGTCCTAAATAAGATAGATAAATTTATAATAAAATTGATAAAAGTAATAAAGGATATTTTGATGAATAAGAATTATGTTAGTAGTCTAATAAAAATATTGCTAGATAATACTTTTAAGAATTGGATTTATTAAATACAAATAAAATAACATATTGGGAATATTATTTAAAGTAATTATATATTAATAATGTAGACGTACTACAAATATTGGTCAATAGGTTATTAATATGATATAAAAAAGTTAAGATTGATTAAATGTTTTATATAAAATTATTAAATTTTTATTATATCGTTAATGTTAACTTAGAAAGAATCATTAGGGAAGGAGGAAGACTTCAATTTGAATAAATTTCGAGATTCTTTGTATCTTAGAATGTCCAGTCCTAGTACCTTAAAAGTTAGTAGCACACGTAAAGATGATAGTTCTGTTAAGAAATCCTCGAAATCTTCTCTCTATACTGATCATAGAAAAAGGTGGATTAAATATTTATTAATAGTGCTCCATCATTTGATGAACTACTTAAAACTATGAATAATGGTAATGGGTTTGCGTAATTATAGAATGGATCAAATCAAAAAAAAAGTATAAATGATTCATCTAGAAAGATGAGTGGATTATAAAATAAAATAGAAAGTCTAGGTAACAATGAAATTAATTAACTAACCAAATTATCTCAACCGTAATCCTTATATAAATTTTAGATTTATTAATAATTAGCCACTATATTAAACAACTAAATCTTAACAAAAGAGAACCACATTCTCTAATAGTATTACGGAAAAACCTGTTTTTAATAAGGGATCAGGAAGAACACTTTTGGATAAATTATCTTTAAAAGAATTGATAGAATTAAGAAGTAAAGTTGATAATAGTACTTAATCAGAAGTTCATTAACTATCAGCTAATTATGTTTAAGAGTTAGTAAAATTGTCTTAAATTATATCAAAGCAAGTTAAAAATGTTAAATATTGATACGATGTATCTATCTACATTAATATAAAATAAAATCATAATGTTATTATAGTCCTCTTAGAATATTAAAATTAATAGTAGCCAAACAATTTTTATGATAATCTAAATAACTATTATGAAATTTGTTCAATGGCCCTATGAAATTTGTATGATTTAATAATTTAATCTCCATATTATTTAAACAAAATAATAATTCATATTATTAATATATTGTGATAGTAGAGATACACAAACACAGATATTATAATTTTAGAAAAGTCAAAGTTTATATTAGAAATATAAAATAATCCAAAAAATGAGATTTATAATAGTCATATAAATGAGATTAATAAAATAAAAATAAAGTAATGTTCAAGAACAACTTCTATTCATATGTTGGTGGTACAAGATCAGACATTGCTATGAGTATTGAATCATACTTTGAAGTGATGGAGGTCCTTTTGGATTAATATTTAAGTAGAGAAGTAATGAATGACTATCTAATAATCTCTAGATGTTGTTCAATTTCAAAAACTGCAGTCAAGTATTAAATGATATCGTTGTTTCTGCACCTTTAGCCTTTTTGCCATTCTCACTTATAGGAACATAATGGCTATTTGCAGGAGCCAATAGAAAAGGTGCAAATAAGGCTTATGGACCAATCCTTGCATCTGTTCATATGTTGGTATTATGGAGAGCATATACTGCTCCAATTCCAAATAAATTGTTTACTAAAATCATTGCAGATCCTACTGTTGATGGTTAGTACATTAGGTATAAAATTATTGATGAATTAAGAACTTAATTATCTGTAATGAAACCAGGATTATGGTCAGTTTTAAGTAGAGAATTGTATCACAAAGGATATAGATTCCCAGAAATGTTGGAATTCAAGACTGCTACTGAATTCCCAACTGGATTTGTTAAACCATATTGATGGTACATAATATATAAAATATATCCAATAATTTAATACAATTTTTTATTAATATAAAATATATTAGTAAATGCAGAAAGATGAACCATTTGTGACTAATTTTTATATCGAATAATAAATAAAAATATTAAAACCACATCCTATAGCTATTAAATTAACTGCCGATATTTTATAAAACTACTATTAATTGTAAGCAGTAACATATAACATTATCAAATTTAATAGAAAGAATCCATTAAAACCTTGCAATCATAATTGCTAAGCATTTATTAGTTTTTCTAACTTGATAATTTTGAAGGATAACAAGAAATTAATAACAAAATAAATACTTTACTTGATGAATTTCAAAAAATTGATGGAGATTCAATTAAAAAAATATCATTTAGACGTTCAGTCCCTAGGAAATCATTAGCTAAGTATTATTTATGTTTTTTTATTATAAATAGATCTTTTAAATTGTTATCTTTAAAATTAAGAATAAGTTTTGATGTTATCAGTAAAATTTGGATTAACAAATAAACATTTCCTAATCAACTCAGATGGGCTTGTTAATGTATTAGGAATATACAAAGGTACATCTCCTTTTAGTAATAAGTTAATTGAATCAAGATATTAATAGAGTAGCAAAAAACCAATCAAAATTGTTTATTTGCAGAATATGTGAATAATAAGTATAGTCTATTGATATGACTCAACATTGTATTTAGTGTGAAAAAAATGCAGAAAGCAAAAAAAGATATATTGAGTTGAACTTAGAATTAGCCAATTTATGCGATTAAGCATATTAAGAAAAAAGAAATGTTTAAGTTAAGTTAGCCATCAAAAAGTAAGAATATATATAAATATTAAGAATGAAAGATAAAAATAAATAGAGACAATATACAAATACTTAATATATTTTTAGAAGAGTTTAAACTTTAGATGATTAGGATGAGGAAGATGATGAAAAGGGAGAATACCAGTAAGAATAAAATTATATCGCAAATATTATGACATAAATAATAAATTTTGCTGAAAAAACATTAAATAATGAGGTAGAAATTGAGGATACTAAATGTAATTATTATTAAATCTTAATTAATTAGTAACTTTAGTTTTATTAAATGATTTAGTAAGTTCTACTGAATATATTGAAAATTAAGAAGCTTTAAATATTATAAATTCTACTCATAAATGTTTATTAGAGAGACTTGAATATCATAAGAAACAAGAAGGTTATAAAAATGCTAAAAATTAATAATAACAATAAGATTAATCAGAAGATAAAATAAATAAAATAAGAAGAGCATTTACTAAATCTAATTCAATTTCATTTAGAATGCCAAGATTTTAGAATAGCCCATCTCCTCCTTCATAAAGAATATCAACAGATCCAATTTAAGAAGAAGATGATTCACCTACTCAACTTTAAATGAAAACATCTTAAAAAATTATACCTTAAAGAAAAGGATTTAGAATGAATTCTTCTATATTTAAAGTAAGTGATGGATCAGAATCACCTAAATCATTAAAAAATATATCAATACCAATGAATTAATCTAAATCAAGTGGTTTTCATAATGGTGAATCAAATTAATCTATTAATTCAAATAATACAGATAATAAAATTGATAAATTATTCAAAAATACAAATACTGATATTAAAAATGAATTAGATTAATATTCACCTACTTTAAAAAAGCTTTCTTCGTTCAAAGCATAACTCTAACCATTAAATGTTGACAAAAAATAACCATCTTTATAAGAAATTAGTCCTAATTTAGATGCATTAAATCCATCTATTAAAGAAGGAGAAAATTCATCAAATTTATCAAGTTTTGAATCTGGTAAATCTAATTCAGCAACTAATAATGATGCTAATCTACAAAATTCATAAAAAGGATCATGTAAAAAAAGAGTTAAAAAAAAATAAACCTTTCATTCTTAAGATATTGAAAAAATGTAATAAAGTCATAAAATTTAACATCGAAAAAGTAGATTCTATGAAAATTAGATTTGTAAATCTCCTGCTGTTATTCCTGATTATGGAATGGATGAAATTTAAATTGATAAAGGATATCATTCAGATTCAAATTTAATTAAAACTGTTATACCTTCATCAAATTAAACTTCAAAAGTTGGAATATAAGATTTTGAATTCATTAAACCATTAGGAAAAGGTGCTTATGGATGGGTATTTCTTGTTAAAAAGAAAGGATCTGGAGATTTATATGCATTAAAAATAATTGATTGTGCTTAAAGAGTAAATTATTATTTTGATTTAGAATTTAGAGGCATTTCTAGAATAATTAAAGGCAGAAAGAAATATCTTTGAAATTTTAAATAGTAATTTTGTAGTCAAAGCATATTTCTCTTTCGTACATGAATAATATTTATGTTTCGTTTAAGAATATATGATGGGTGGAGATCTAGCAAGTATTTTAAAAACATATACAGTATTTTTATTAAATATTCTTAGGCTTTAGATGAATTTTATGTTCGTCATTACATGGCAGAAATAATCTTAGCCTTGGATTATTTAAGACAATAAAATATAGTTCATAGAGATTTAAAACCTGAGAATATTCTATTAGATAGTTAAGGACATGCTAAACTTGCTGATTTTGGTCTATCTGAATAAGGTGTTAATAGTAGATTAAAATTAAAGGATAGTATGAATTCATTCAATACAATTGAAATACCAACATGTGTTGAAAAAATGATTGATCAATAAGGTTATGAGACAGTATATAAATAATTAAAAAAAGTGGAATCCATTTTAGTAGATAAATTAGGAAGCAAAACTAAAAAGTATATTGATTTCAAAAATTTAGAATTGTTGGAACTCCTGATTATATTGCTCCAGAAATAATCTTAGGAACATCTGCTAGTAATTTCAGTTGTGATTATTGGAGTTTAGGAATTATTATGTATGAATTATTATGTGGAATTGCTCCTTTTAATGATGATACAGTAGATAAAATATTTGATAATATTCTTAATATGAGAATAGAATGGCCATAAATTGGTGATGCAGAAGATTGTATATCTGAATAGGCTTATGATCTAATGATTAAATTATTAGAACCTGATTATAAAAATCGTTTAGGACATAAATCAATTGAAGAAATTAAGAATCATTAATTTTTTAAAGGTATTTTATTAATAATCCAAAGGAATTTCTTGGAATACATTATTAAGTAAGCCAGGTTTGATTGTTCCTGAATTAAATAGTGAATTAAAGGATACAGAGAAAATGTAATAATTCTTAAAAAAATTGGAAAAAACTAATAAAGATAACGAGAACAAGAAGTTAACATAATAATTGAAGGCACAATTATAAAGCTTAGAAAGAATTGATTTACTTAAATAGAGAAGTATTT